TATAATGATAACCAAAGAAAGCAAATCAATCAATGATTAGGAATTGATGAATTGAGTTGGGTGTAGTGTAATTGAACAAGATATTTTTTGGTTTGAATTGATAGTCAATTTGTATAGTTTAAAATGATTAAAATAAGAAGCAGCAGAACTATATTATATAAAATATGGAAATACCTACCCAAAATTAAAAATAAAGAATAGATATGATGCAAGTGGTTAGCTCTTGAGAGATAGGAATATAAATTTCTTTATTATATTCTGTTTTACTTGACTTTTTATTATTACATGACTTTCTATACATTTGTTTTTTTTGAAATTTCTACTTTTTAGCAGAAAAGATCATTTGTATTAGAAGGTGCTATCCCATAGCCATTTCTCCTATAATGTTTGCTATGTCAGGATAAGATCAATCAAATCACCAAAATTCTCAAAAGGAAAATTAGGCTTTTTAATTTTTTTGGTGCAGTTTACAGGGAGGCTATGAGAATCAAAAGAGACTAATTCCAGAAAAATCTTTTCATAAATGTCTATGCCTCAATCTTCCTGACCTTCAGCAGAGTTTTTGTCCGTCGCATTTTACTCCTTTACTCAGAGTCCCAGGCATATGAAAGATTCAAACCCAAGCTGTGGGAAACTTTGCCGATGGCCACCTCACCTTCAGTCTATATAAGCCAGCAGCAATGGGAATGAGCTGCACAGTTTTATGTATTTATGGCATGCAAATGAATGTGCCGAATGTTGATTAAACATCTCTGTGTGACTTTTAGTCAGCAGCCCTAATGCTTCCCTTGGCAGAATCAAATTTCTACATGAACATCTTCTGAGGAAACTGCTGACTTATTGAACACTTTACAGCCAGCCACCCACACAGCTTGCAGCACACCTTAAAAAAACACCCAGGAAGAGCCAGATACAGGATGGGCAGCTTCCTTCTCAGAGGTCTGCAGGGCCAACCTATCCTCCGCATCTCAAAAATGTGCTTTCTCGTTCCAGGTAACCACCCTTCCTAGTCCATTAGGTTCTGGGAGGATGGTGGAAGTCATCCTTCAAAACTCCTCTCTCTTCTCCTTGCATGCTTGGCTCCCTTCTCTTCCAAACAAAGGCAGCTCCAGTTCCTCTCCCCACAGTGATGGTGTGTTCGTGGGGTGCACTGGGTTGGTGATGGGGGTGGACAGGAAATATACAGAAAATGGAAAACAAAAATGATTTGTGCAAATCCTCATCTGGGAAGCCTGCATTCCTGGTTGCCTGCATTTATAATATTAAGGGGGGGGAATTACAAAAAGGCAGTCAATGAGTTAGTATGAATCAAACCTTTGTTCGTTGGCAAATCCTGCCTGGAAGGCTGAGTTCAGGCTTCTCATTGACTTGCAGCATCAATTTTATAGAAATGGCTTTAATATCTGCCCAAGGCCCATTCTCCTCCCACTCGGCCAGAAGGAGTAAGAAAGGTGATCACACAACTGGACTCCCTGTGGTCCACTTTATGAAAGGGGCAACCTCTATAGTACCTCTATATTCCCCCAAAACACTGGAAAGGAGGTAGGAAAATGGTCCCATGGAGGGACCTGGGAACAGAGAAAGGCAGCCAAAGACAGTAATAATTCTCCTGGCTCTCTTCAATGCCACCCACATCTATGGGCTAGATACACTCTCTAAATGCCAAACCTGTCCTTCCCAGTCACCCTGCAGCCAAAATGTAGCTTGAGAAAGCAGCCAGAAAAATTCTGCAGTCCAGGCAAGAAAAGAGTTTGACTGGGGACATGATGGTAAGGTTGAAAGGAAGAGAGGTAAATCATTTCAGGCATGTGTCAATGATTCCTTTCTAAGTTCAAAAAGCTTGTACTTTCAACACATTTGTCTTCCAGGGAAATTTTTGGAGCAAGTTGTATTTTCTCCACTTAATAAATGATGAATTTGAAACTCAGAGTTGATTTGGATGATAGCCAATTTGCACAGATAGGACTTGATTCTATTCTTTGGCCTTCTTGCTTTAGGGCCTTCTCCCTAGACCACATTTCCAGTAGATGTCATTCTCTAACCAGACTATAGGAATTCTAGCCACTTGGCTGGAAGTTAAGGTCCAGGGGAACTAGCTAGGGCTACACAGACTTGTGGTCATTATGCCTAACTCCACTGGACTCTGTCCCAGATAGTGTTGATGACTGGATCCCTTTTGACGTCTTAACACTGTTTTTACTGTTACTGTTTTTGCAAAGACTCAATTATACTTCACTGCCAGTCAGACATTCTATCCCACTACAGTCTGCCACCAACTCAAAGGAAGTGGTAGACAATGTTTTCCCTCCAGATCTCAAATATAATTCCAAGAGGTTTATTTTAATATCATTTCTATTATTATCTGTTGGTTTGGTTTTTGTTGTTGTTACTTATCCCTTTGTTCATGAGACTATTGCATATCTTCCAACAGGTGAGTCCAAGTTTTCTTGTTGTAATTTTAATTTCCAAAGGAACAGAGTAGAATATTCATGGCTGCCTTGATGTCTCATTTCCCTGTGCTGATGAAAACAAAATCTTGACCCAGCCAACTGACCCTTCCAATCTTCCGCTCACGGTTCTGATACTCCTGCCATTATTAACATGGCAGCTGTCACAGCCCTTAGGATGGAAAGACCCATTAGCTCATCTGGTCCTATCTCCCTTCCAGGGCAGGATATAAGCCCAAAAAACACTTCCTGGTCTAATGACTGTTTTGGAGTTTATTTATCCTAGGTTACAGCAAACATGGCTTCAAAAAAACAGGAAATAGGGTTTCATGTTAGGTAATTACGATACCAGTTATAACAATGTAGTGGAGGCGTTGTGGAAGTGAAGCTTGCATTTCCATACAAGGCGGTGAGGGAACTTCATTGACCATCAGGAAGCTGAAGTGTGTAGCTGTGACAACCTAACAGGAGCAGGGGAGGACTACCTATTCCTGCTTTCAAATTCCACAGGGCCATCAAAAGTAAAGAAATTACATCAGCTTGTGACATTCTTAAATTGGTACTTACTCACTGAGTTCCTCATGGGCAAATTCGCCTTTCATGATGGCGAAACTTCAGACATACTCCATGAAATGTTTAATTAATTGACTAAAAAGAAGCCCAAGTTTACCAGGAAGGAGGGGGAAGGAGACAGGGTGCAAGAATTCCCAGGATCATCTCTATAGAGGGAGCTCCACTGAATACTATTTCAGCTCAAATTCCACTGGCATTCCCTACTAACGACTGCACTGTCAAAAATACAAAGAGTTAACACTTACTGGGCATTTGCCGCTGGTCAGGTACTAAGCTGAATACTTGATATGTGTTATTTTGTTCAACAAACTTTAAAAGAGGCAGTATTATTATTTCCATTTTGCTGAAAGGAAAAAGTGAGTCTACGAGGGATTAAATAATTTGCTGAAAATGACACAAATAAATGAAAAACTGAATTCAACTTCACAGAGTCTGATTTATAAGCTCATGTCTTGACTACAATACCATGGTGCCTTTCCGCTTTTGGTTTATTTTTGGAGAACCAATCAATGCTTTCAGAGAAGAGAAATGAGTGGCAACAGCATTGCTCTTATTCACGGGATAATTTCAACCTTATCCCTCTTTCTGAAAGGTGGTTGTTTGCCTTTCCCACTCTCCATGAGCCTCAACTGACTCTCATGTGTCTCCCATGCCCCTTCCACTTTCCACATTTTCTCTTTTACATCTTTCTCATCAAAATCCAAAATGACGGTTGAACTAAGAAGCATGCTCATGTCAGTCAATAAACTTGGATAACTTCACTTCCTTTGCATTCCTGTCTTGGGCTCAGGAGAGGAAATAATCTCTTAGATGCCATCTTTCAAGAATCAGGATGTAGCAACAATGAACACACAGCATCTTCATTCTCATTGTCATATTTGATGTGCTGGATAATCATGTGAGTTGGGCTGGGTGGGATTTTTAACCTATTTTACAGGTAACATAACGGAAACTCTAAAATCAGGTACAGTTAGAAGCTGAGCCACATCTGCTTTCAAATCCTACCTATTTTCCAAAAACTGATGATAGCAGTCTCTCCTGAGACTCAGAGGATGCCCGTTCATGCCAGTCTAAAATGTTGCTCAGTTCCACCAGGGACTTCAAGCTCCACCCTTGTAGCTCAGATGTCATTCATGGAGGTTAAACGTTCTTGGTGAACTGAGGTTTCCATGAGAGTTCATATTTATGTTGGCTGCAGGATTGTTCTCCTCTTGCCATAGAAACCACAATATTTTGGTTTCCTTTGGTTGTATCTGTTTTGCTTTAAACATTGTCTTGATATAAAGAGAAATACAAGGTCAATGTAAAGTTTACCGACAAGTCTAAACAGCAACATGTGCCTATAAATCCATGGTATAAAGAGCAGTGACCTGTGAGTCAAAGCACCTGGATTCTAGCCCAGGTCTCCCAGTGAATTCCATAAAGCCATAAGAGTGTCACCTATGCTGTTCAAAACTCACTTTCCACAAAGGAATCAGCAAGGATGGGCTAGAAGACCCCTACAGAGTCCTTCCAGCATTAAAAACTCAGGGCTTTTATCATCCTTGGTCATGCTGACCCTGGTCTTAGCAGGAAAGCACATTTGGTCCACATAATTGCTGTTTTAGAAGACTAGGGTGTTTCCTTCCTGGGATGGCCAGGCAAAAAGTTGTACATGAGAAGATATCCAAGGAAGAGAGTTTGTACTATGGGACTGAGTTAAAGCAAGCTGGTCTGAGTTAGAGCAAGCAGGTCTGGAGGGGAAAGCATAGAAATGCTAAGTCCTGAATGCCCAGAGGACAGCGTGGTGCCTCCATGGGTGGCCCTCATGCTCTTCTATGAAACCTGTTTTCCGATAGCTTAGCAGGATTAACTCATCCAGACAACATGTATTAAGCCCTCCTTTGTTCCAGATATTTGATAAGAAACAAAAATAAAAGATAAAGTAAGATTCTGTCCTTAAAGGGCTTGTAACTTATCAGAAGAACAAATAAGATGTGATTTTTTTTTTTTTTTTTTTTTAGTGAAGGCAACTAAAGACTTAGCTGAGAAAGGGTTAAGGAATCTAACTCTATCAACTCTAAGGATTCACTCATCCCTGAAATGTATATAATTGCTCTACTTAAACATCTCACTAGCTAGTGCATTTTTTTCCAGATCAGATTCTCCTTGTTTGCCTTCTCAGGGCTTGCCAACAGCTTACCTGAAATTCTACTGTCCCTCTCTATGTGACTTGGCAGTGTGCATTACTTTAGACCAACTTATCATGTGTTTTAGGCATTGAGGTGTGAGGAATCCTAGTTCCCTAACTACAGAAAAAGTTCCTCCACAACAAGTTTCAGACTCATGTTTGATTTGTTGTTGTTTTTTTTTTCAACAAAACCTAACCCAATATTAAGCACATCAAAACTTGTTCATTGCATAAGTTATTCTGAATCTAAACACACTGCACGATCCTACTTCCTTGTTCTAAAATTGAGATGTCCATAGAAGTGATGAAATTCCAACAGGGTCACTTCTGGCAGAGGACCACTGAAGAGCTTTGGCCATTCTGTTTCTCTCTCTGGCATGTGTCAGGTAAGAGCTGCTTATGAGCCTGGAGTCCAGAGTACTTCTGACACCATAGAACCAAGCCCCCTGCCAACTACAGTGATGGTGGAGCTGGAGTGAATGTTGCTTCAAGATACTGAAGTTTGACTCTTGTTACCACAGCATAACATAACCCAGCAGAAGTCTTCACCAGATATGTTCTGATCTCTGTATTGATGACTCAAAGACAGAAGACAAGTAAAAAAGAAAATAAAGTAGCTTAGCAGTAGCCCTAATTAAAAGCCTGGAAAAAAAAAATACTTGGCTAGTTCTTTCTAATAGAGAAAGAACCCCATATCCACAGAATAAACCTTACATCACAGATAGCAACAAACCCTATATATATAGTATACTCGTTCTTGTACATACATACCTATGATAAGATAGAATTTTTAAGTTAGGCACAATTAGAGATTGACAACACAAACTAATAATAAAATAGAACAATTGTAATAACACATTCTGCAACACAAGTCATTTAAAACTTCTAGATTTTTGATTTCTGAAATTTTCTATTTAATATTTTTGGACCACAGTTGAAAATGGGTAACTGCAACTGAGGATGTTGAAACTGTAGATAAAAGGGTGGGAGGGACTGTGCATGCTGTTTGCATGTTTCCAGGAACACTCTTGACATTCCACACTTGTCAGCAGTTCTTTTGCTTTGAGGATGCTTTACCTTAGGGGGGAATGTCTCCCATCTTTGCCTGCAGACCTTAGTGGTCAGGATAAGAAATCTAATGAAGAGTCCTGGAGAAAAGCAGAGAACTTTGGGAAGAAAGGGAGTGCACAAAGATCAGGAGGGAAGGGGTCCATGGAGGTAAAGCCTCACAAGGACTTTGTCAAACACCTCTGGAAAAGCATGGGGTGTGGCCTGGTATGAGCAAGGCCCTGGGTTCCATCCTCAGCAGCTAAAACAAAACAAAACAAAACTGGAAATTACAAGAACTCAGCCCTCTGGCATCAGCCAAACCTAAGCTTGAACTCCAGCTACTTTAAAAAAAAATGTTTTATTTGTTCTAATTAGTTATACATGACAGCAGAATGCCTTTCAACTTTTAATCAGCTATTGCAGGACTCTGAGCAAGTTACTTAACCCTTCTAACCCAGCAAGTTTCCTCATTTGTAGAACAAAGGTGAGAACAGAATTTAGCACTTAGGATTATTGAGAACATTAAGAAGACAATGCTCCTCAATAGCAGGGAAATGTTTTTTATACTGGGTGCTTTAAAAAAAAAAAGAATCATAAACAAAGGTAAGAGCCATGATTTTCTAGTACACTTAGCATAGTAACTACAACAAAAATGTTCAAAAAAAAAAGTGTGGGGGGGATTAGTCTAAGAAAATAAAAGGAGGTGGAAACATTCATTAAATGCTCATGAAAAGAAAGTCCTGCCCAGGTTTAGCTTCCAGGAAACTTTGAAACTCTCGCCCAGAGCAGAGTGATGTGGCCATTGGACCTCATGCAACCTTGATGATTCTTTTTCCAGATACCAGAACTTACCTAACCCTCAATCAGTTTCTCTGTAAAGGGCTCAGCAAGGCTGGGGAAGCCAGGGTGACCACTGGAAGGAGAGAGCAAAGGAGGAGAACTGGTGTCCTGAAGACGGGTGTCCAGGCCTTGCCAGAAAGTTGGAGATGTTGGCCTTGGCTCTTCACCTGACTTTGAGACACTGGCCAGAGGCCTGAGAATGAGAGAGAAAGTAGAAGGTCATCTGCTGCTCTTCACTGGGCCAGCCTGGATTATCCTCTTATTCCAGCTGGATGTGGCCCCAGAAGTAGCAGTAAGCATGCTCTCTGAGATTTCCCCACCTCTCCTTTCTGTACCTTGTCCCTTAATGGGGGATCTTTCCTAGGGACACACATCCTGTACTGTCTTGGAGTTCTTCCCCCAAGAAAATTATTTTCCCTCACAGAGTGAAGAAAACAAAAGACTTGAAATTAAAAGATACCTGAATCTGAATGCTTTCACATGGCAGCTCTTTAATTAATTGTCCCAAAACCTCAATTTCCTTAAAATAGTACTAACCACCTCACATTATGGGGATTATTTGGTTATCTTGTGTTAGTAACAGATTTGGGTTTGATTTGAACAGCAGAGATAAAAAGGATGGATTCTTGCTCCTACAGGTGAAATGCAACTTCATCGGCTTGGATTAAAATCTCCCAAATTGCTCACCCTCTTCCTTCTCCTATCCATGTATTCAACTTTTACTCGCTGCGTTTATTATTGTGCTAACCGGTGCTAAGTGGCGACTGCAGAAAGGTCATGAGGACATAGTCTGCAACATCATAGAGCTTCCAGCCTAAGAATGAATCTGAAACAGAAAGGAAGCAGATGCAATGAGCAGAGTAGTCACGGCCCTGTCGGAAGTGCAATGGAGGATGACATCAGTTCAGGTTCATCACAGAGAGCTCAGGGAAGGCTTCCTGGAGGAGGAGGTGCCTGCCCCAGGACAAAATGAAGACTTAGACCAAAAGAGGCAGAGGTCAAGGAAGGCAGGGATGGATGAGAGGAGAAAAGATTCGTTCAGGCAAAGGGAAGCAAGAATGTAAAGTGGCCAAGGAAAACCAGATTGTTGCTGGAACGCTAAGCAGGAGGGGGAGAATGTGACAAAACATAGATTTTCTGACACTTGGCAAATCCTCACCTTATAAAGGAAAATCTAACACAAAACCCCTCTTCCTGCTCTACAACCCACACTCCGTTCTCTGTAGGTTCCCAAATATGTTTAATTCATATTAAAATATTAAAAATGGAAGGAAAAGTAAGATGTGGTCATCAAAATGTTCAAAGCTCCCTCCAAGCATGTGTGCATCTCTCTCTCTCTCTCTCTCTCTCTCTCTCTTTTTAGATTTCTGTCCCTTTTGTGAGCACCGAACCCCTCCATGGTAGGAAGCATTTGTCTAAAAATAGCCCTTCTCAAAGACCCAATCTTTTCTGAGTTTTATAGAACATCTGCTCAACAGTTTCCTATAACTGTTTTTGGCCATTAAATCAAAGCCTGTAGAAACAATGTTCTGTTTCTGTCTTTCAAGCAAAGAATTGCCATCAGGCCTTCCTCCCAGACCCCAGACAATGGGCCAGAAATAGACACAGGAGGCTTTGAAACACCTAAGTCCTGAGTCTAAGCAGAGTTACTAGTGTCTTTTTTTTTTTTTCTTTTTAGAGACACTGTACAGAAAAGAAACTTAGATAGGCAGAACCTCCTGGGAGAGGCGATGCCACCCCATGCAAATTACCACCTGCAGCGTGGGGCCATGTGGTTTGTGCAGCTCAGGGTTGGCAGAGACCAGAGACCGGTAAATGCCTCATCTTGGGCTGGCTGGGACAGCCACACATGTGTGGGGGCGGGCTGATATCTGACTGTGTGGTTGTGCTTGGTTCTAAGTGATGTCTGTGATATGTGCTGAGCTCCTATTTGTTTATATGCCACAGAATGTGGGAGTTTGCAGCCACCTGTGCTAATCCAGGGGAAAAACTCACAGGCATAGGGTTTAAAGTTCTGGTAGGTTCTGAACCGACCATGCATACAACCAACCAAGCGCCCTGGGCCAGACATTTTTTCTCTCTGACTCTGTTGCCTCACCTGTGAGTTGCTGTAATGTGAACAAGCATTGGTGCAAAAATTGCTGGCCTTGCTTCCCAGAGAGATGGCAAGAGGAAGATGAAGGGGAGCCAGGATCTAAATCAGGATGTCACCCAGAGTCGGGGCCAGGGGCAGGGTCTGCTCAGCAGCAGAGTGGTCAGGCACTAAGCACAGCTAAGTGCTGAGGATGTTCAAGGGGCCATCCTGGGGCAGAGCTAGACAGCAGTGCTAGAGTTGAGACGTTTGTCCAGTTTTACAAGATCCGGTTAGAGGGTGGTGGAGGAGAACATGAAACTGGATGAAACTGGATCTGGAGCCCTAGGGGAAAATGCTTTCTTCCTCTAGGCCAAGATTTCAGTCTGTGCAGTGAACTTGAAGTTTAGGCAAAAACAAAACAAAACAGGCAACCTCTTTGTCTCAAGAGGCCAACACAGCAGGTAAGGGGATGAGGGACTCCGAGATTACCATGCAAAAAGTTTATCCATGGCATGTACCTATGGTCTCATGGCCCCTGCTTTTGGCCTCAAGACAGTGCTCTCTGAAAATAGGCAAATGGGCCAAAGTCACAGCATCCTAAGTGCCATCCTCAGGACCAACACAGAATGGAGATAAACCCTGGGGCGACATTTACACCCAGGTGTACACAGATGGGGATGAGAGAAGTCAGCAGCGTAAGGCTGAGAGAGGGAGGACTGGAGGAGCACAGCCCTCTCCCGGGATCTAGGTCTGGATGCTTCCGTGCACTTTCTTCAGTTTGTACAGAGCAGCCTTTGCAGTTTGGAGGAGAAACTGGTTTCCGAGATTCATGTCCATCATAATTTGTGATCGGATCATGAGACAATGTTGGCTGGGCCTTGAACCTGAGTGCACGGTTATGTGGTAACAGGTCTGTAGTTGTAAGAGCAGAATGAGAAGTGGGAGCAGGTGTATTCTTGTCATTGTGAACTTGCCCTGAACATTACCAAACTATGGTCACACCCAAGGAGAAGCCACCCTGTTTTCTTTCTTTTTCCCCCCTCTCCCTTTTTCCCTCCATCATTCTCTTCCTTCCATCAATCACTTTCTCCTTTTCTTTCTCTCTCTTTTCCAGTAGATTCCAGTTTGTATTAGTTAGGAATACTCTGAGACAAGTTTAATTTTTTTAAGAAAACATGCAGATTAACGTTTTACCCAAACAATGAAGCCAAAAGTTAGTGCAAGCGAAGAAGTCGTCCCAACATCCCAACTATAAAACTCTCCAACAAAGACTGCTGCTGCCAGAAAAGTGGGGGCAGATCTGCCCCAAAATGCACAATCCCAGAGACACCAGCAACATCAGAGCAAACGACATCAAGCCAGCCAATATTTTAGCTTGTTTGTGAAATCGTTTCTGCATGCTTGTCACTTTCTGAAGCAAAACACCAGATCTATTTATAGATCTATACATATTTGATAGAATAGCAACAGCCCTGAATGAGCTGCTTAGGGATTGCCTGTTGCAAATTAAGTGAGCATGTATGTATGAGTGTGTGTGTGTGTGCATGCCAGGTGGGGGGGCAATGATAACTCCAGCCATGCTCACAACTCCTGAGTCCCTGTCCCACTCAAAGGCCTGCCCATCAATCTTTCCCAGACACCATACCCAGGTTCCCAGGCTTGAGCTTGACCCTGTGGAGTGAGTGTTTCTGAAAAGCAAAGCAGCTCTGCTACTCAGGAAGCAAAGGCTCGGACTGAAAGAAGCTTGGGGCAGAGCATGACGTCAAGGGGGCCAACATGGTTGGATCCAATATCCTAACTGGGGGAAAAGTTTCATAGTTACTAGTTTTCAAAAATGAGTCCATTTCATTTGCCATTTGGTTCTACCTCCTTGGGGAGACACGGGAACAGACCTGAATTTCCAAAATTAGGCCATGCATTACCAACAAGGTTGAACAACAGCTAAAAGATTATGGGTTTGACACAATGTCTAAACCCGGTGTATGTCCCAGTCCCAGTCCCAGCCCCTGCTTCTGTGCTGTACTCTCCAGCAAGTGTGGCGGCCACTGCTGTTCACCTGAGGCTGCCATGAATCCATCCTGAATTCCTGAAAAGTGGCCGAGTCTGGAAAAGCCCTGCTGCTGCTCTTGCTGATGCCATAGTCGCAGCATCTAGAGGAGCTGCACAGCTGGTCTGACTGCAGGCTCTGGGTGGGTGCTGGCCTTCTCCAGTCTCCTTATCAATGAGTTCAGGAAACACAGCCCTTGGGTCCTCCCCACTTATACTTAAGGAGCCCTCTTAGTCCTCTTTTGTACTTTGGAGGTGGCTTGGGTGGCCACATGGCCATGCAGTAATACTCAAATTCCCTCCAGGCCAACACACCGTGTGCAAAAGGCAGGACTTGGGCCTTTTATTCCCTTGGAGGCAGCAGACTTCATGGGGCTGAAAGGGGAGTAGGCAGCCTGGGAGCTCATAGTATGGGGCATTGGGAGCTCCAGGGTAGGTTTCATGACAATAAGGAAGCCTAACAGAGTCGTCTGTAACAGTATCTAACCCAATTGGGCTTGGATCTAGGGGTAACAAGATAAAGTAGCCAGGGGCAGTCCTCCAGAGAGGAGAAGCAGCTGCCTGCACAGTGCAACTCCAGAGAAAAAAACAAAGATCCTCATGTGATCCACCCATACCCACATGCACTTGGTCAGACAGACTTGGCTCCAGGTTGGCTTTCCCACCTGCTCTGAGTCTGTGAGTGAATTACTCTACCTCTCTGAGCCTTGAATTGCTCCAACGACTACAAAGAGATACACATTGTAATAAAATTTACTTCACAATATGACTGTGACCATCAAATAAGACAGTATATCGAAAGTGACCTCCCATTTATTCAACCAACATCTACTTAGCACCTATTCCCAGTATGCCTATGCCAGGTTCTAGAAAGACCCTGGGGAATAAAGCAGCACACTATGGATGGGGTTGTAGTCCAGGGGGCAGAGAGGTGATAAACCTGTGAGTACACAGACAAATAAATATGCCTTTCCAAGTTGCAATAATGACCTCTGAAGGAATCTGGAAAAGAGCCGTAGGGAGGGGTGGAGGCCTCTCTTCTGTCTGGGGTGCTCCCTGAGGAAGTGACATTCAGGCCTCAGCCTAAAACGCACTGGAAATGTAGCTCAGTGGTAGAGTACCCCTCAGTTCAATTCCCAGTACCAGAAAAATAAGTAAATGAAATAATTAACATTCTGTGGGGGAAAGAGAGTATAGGAAAATAGAGATGAGAGCGTGTCAAGGGAGGGGACAGAGCCAGTCTCTTGCTTATTCACACAGAACCATCAGAGCAGGCTGTATCAATGGTGGTGGGTGGAGGAGATTTGGTACCTTTGAGAAAAGGCTTAAAGAAGGTGAAGGAAGAGGACAAAGTCAGGTGAAGAGCAAAGGCCAACTCCCTACACACACACACACACACACACACACACACACACACTTTCTGAACCATGACCTGTCTGTCCGCTGTGACCTCTTCTGTGACAGGAGAGCAAGCAGGAGTCAGGGAGCCTGGGTTGGGGGGCAGCTATTGCAGAAGTCCAGTGAGACAGGAAGGTGGCTTAGATCAGGAGGACAGCCACATAGAGGGGAAGAAGCAGGTGGATCCTGGATAACGTTTAAAAGTAGAGCCTGAGAATTTTTTGACATGTTGGATGTGGGTTTCAAGAAGCGGAGGAGTCTGGCACAGCTCCACATTCAGCCTCAGAAACTGACAGTGTGGAAGTGAAATCACGGAGGGGGACAAGAATGGAACCAGGCGGTGTGTGGCAGAGAACAGGCTCTCCGTTGTGGTTGTGTGAATTCCGAGGTATCTGCTGCATGAGCTCCAGACAGGTATGTGGAGGAGAAGGGAGTTTGGGCTGGAGTCTCCAGTGTGGGGTGCCCAGCCCAGAGATGGCTTTCTGAGGACTTGAACCTGGTTGGGACCACCAAGGAGAAGTGAATGGGAAAGAGCAGAGGACCAAGAAGCTGACAAAGTGAAGAGGTTGAAAAGAAAGCAAAGAATGGGACATGGTAGTGCATGTCTGTGATCCCAGTGCCTCAGGGGGCTGAGGCAGGAGGATTGTGAGTTCAAAGCCAGCATCAGCAATG